CCCCCCGCACACACACACACAAAAAAAAAAAAGAAGAAGAAAACGCCCAACCATGATTATCCCTAATAATTTAATAATTTCCTATTTTTAATATTATTTTTTTCATTTCATTCTTTTACACTTTACCCTAATTTACCAAACAACTTTCAGATAATTAAAATATCTTTTCAACATTTTCTTCTACTTCTACTTCTGCTCCTCTACACTGTCCCCATTTTCCCTTTCCCTTCACTTCTGCTTCTCTCTGCATTTTGTTCTTTGGCTGTTGCCTCTCTCAGCTCATTGCTTCACATGTTAATCTTTTCACTACTTTTCTGATCTCTGGTTCCAATATTTTTCCCTCAGATCAACTAAAATCTAATCTTTAGCTTCCTGCTTCTATAACTATTCAACTTTTGTTACAAAGAAAATTAAAAAACAGTCTGATTAGTGGGGTTTATTTTTGTTAGTTTAATTTGATCAGATTTTAAGGCATGGGTTTCTGGTTAAAGATGCAAATGGTGGCTGTTTCTTGAAAAGTCAGCTTCATTTGGTATGTTTTTTTTTCCTCTCTTGGTTTTCAATTCTAAAGGCATCTTAAGCTGTAGCTTTATATTGGTTTCTTTATGGGTTAATCTAAAGATTCAATCTTTTTTGTGTTTATTGATATATAGCTTCAAGCTTCAGGTTTTGTGTTTTGGACCCTTTTCTATAATGTTTTTAATTTTATCTTTTTTCTTAGGTATTTGGTCCAAAGTGTTTTCTTTGTCACTGGTTGTACTATGTTTGAGCTCTACTCTTGACTCTTGTGTAGTCTTTCATGAATTCTTGTTTTCATTTAAATGATTCTCTGTTTTACTTGTCCAGTTTTTCAATATGGGTTAGTGGAAGACATAGTTTTGTTTGTTTCTGAAAGAAAATTAATTTTTTCTCTCATTTTGTTTGTATTTGTTTCGGTTTCAGATTGAGTTTTCAGGATATATATTCTAGTGAGGATAACGTTTTCCAACTGGGATTTTCCTCTCTCAAGAGGTTTTTTCATATCCTTCCCAATATATTTGGTCCTGTAAAAATTGTATGGTTGTTTCTAAATTCTAATCTATTTTATGCTATTTTCATTTAATTCATAGGATTTATCAGTTTTGTTGAGGTTCTTAATCCTAGTTTAAGGCCTCAGATTTGTTGCAGGAATCAAAGTTTTCAAATTTGGAGAATGGGTAGAGGAAGAGGGAAGGGGAAGAAGCAATCTGTTTGCGAGGATATTGGAAGTGGCGAAGAAGAAAAGATACCTGTGAGGAGAAGGGGTAGACCACAGAAGCCATTGAAGGATGAAATAGAGGAGGAAGAAGAAGCCGAGAAGGTAGTAGTGGAGGATGAAGACGACAGCGAGAATATAAAGAGTGAAGCTGCTGAGAATGGAAAAAAGAGGAAGAGATCTCCACAAGTCAAGGAAAATGCTGATTCAGTGAAAGAGGAAAATGGTGTTGGTACCAAAGCTAACTCGAATGATTTGATAAAATCAGTCGGATTCAGACAAAACGGGAGCAGAAGGAAAAACAAGCCTAGACGTGCTGCTGAAGTTGGTGTTGAGTGCAGATGAACAATGGCTCGTCACTTTGAATAACTGATTCAGTGATGATATGCTAGTTGGCCCTCATTATAGTTTCTTTGTTTTTGATTATTGCAATTTCATCTGAGGAATTCAATTTTGAGAAGATTTCTGCAGCAAATTTTCGTCTTATTGAATGTCTTGCTGCTAGATCTCTCAGCTAGTTCTCTCATTTTGCACGTGTTAGTAAAACCAGAAGCTTATTTTATATGTGATGCCCTTGTTTGAAATGGTAGTTATTATGTTTTTTCATGAGTATGTATTATACTATTAATTGACGTGTGAAAACTAGAGAAGCATGAATTAGCCTCTTGGTCGGTAACTGAAGTTGTCTGAGAAAGAACTCTTGGTACCAAACAGAGGTGGTAGTAAAAGCCAGAAGAAAGCGCAATGTTAGTGTGCTGAATTCAGGGTACAAGCTTATTGCAGGTCAGAGCAGACATGATATTTCCTTCTGTTGTATTGGCTGATATTTACTTGCATTGATATTTTCATTTTGTGGAAACTGAAGCCAAATTTTCCCTGATGCAATTTTGTTTGCCTGCTTGGTGGTGATATCTCTGAGTTTATTGTTCTTCCCATAGTTTTGTTGCAGTTTTCCGGTTTTTAGCCTACTAAATGTGATGTTTATAAGGAGTTAACGGTATGGTTGAAAGTTGTCTGAACTCTAGTCGTCTTGCTTCTATTGCTAAGATCTAATGCTTGAGGATCTGTTTTTCTGCTTTTATACTTTCATAATAGCTTGGTCAGATGTTCTCAACCTGTGCCTACTAAAATCTGTTTGAGGTATGAACATTCTTTGGAAGATTGATGTGAAGTAATTGCGAACTTTACATGTGATGATTATTGCTGTAATTTGAGAATGGAATTTCCAGAGAATGCTTTCATGATTTGCATGTGAATGAAATGGAAACTACATGGTCAATGCCACAAGAATTTTAGTTGTGTTGGTGTTATCCCCATATAACTGTTTTGTTCGAAGGACTGGCAAGATGTATAAGGTGTTCTTAGTGCAGATAGCTGCTTCGCTTCTAATATTATGCGTTGGCAACAGAAATGAGTTGCATGATCAAGCTGAACTTGTAGTTTATAGAGTTGTAAGATAACAAACTGGTATTGACTTTCACTATGTTTATGCTTTACCATCACTTTTGTGCAGTTAGATTTGTATTGAATTGGAAAAGCAATTCATTTTAATCTGATCACATATGTTTACTTCTTCAGAACCATATTTAGGTCATTCTTTTTGGTCATGCATATCTGAAATAGCAAGTCCTGTTCATATCAGATGATTGTTTCAGTTAGCTCTTCCTGTTAGATGTCTAGAACTTATTTAGCAAGGGTATCAGGAGCAGCTATGACTAATGTGGCTTGATTGAAAGATGATTAAGTAGTATGGTGGTGTATGCATGCCCTACAAAGGATGTAAGGATGCAAAAGGTTATATTGAAAAGGAGAGGCAAATGCATACAAACTTTATTATTGTTAATTCTTATTGGCCTTATTAATGTTTCTGTTGCATTTCTTTGATGATGTTTTGATTACTTGAATAATTTATTTGGATAATTGCGGTGAGAATAAGGAACTTTTTAGGTAATTTAACATGAATACTTCATTTGAATGTTCATTTTTATAAGAAAAAATATCAAAACCAAAAATTCGAAATATTCAAATTGATTATTCCAAAACCAAACTTAAGAAATCTGATACAATCGGAGCTTATTTGGATTGTCATTTCTTCAATCTGAAAACTAAAAATTCAAACCGAAAATTTCATATCTAATCCAAATTGTCCAAAAGGCCACCCTTTTGTGACAAGCACTCATAGTTATGCGAATACGAACCAACTATAGTTTACTCTGAAAAACTATTGAGTTGGAAAGGAAGAAACAACAAAGGAAGCACGATTAAAACTATTCTGTTATCAGTCAACTCTCAGGGCGGATTATAATTTTTCGATGTGATGGCTTTTAGGCTTTTATCTTTACTAGCAGTGTATGCACTTTACACGTGTAATTTTGTATTTATCAATAATGTATTTAGAATATTCATGTAATTATAAATAATATTAACTTGTTAATAGAAAAGACCTATTAAAATTGATGAAATACTATAGAATAACGTTATAATTTATTATTTTTATAAAAGACTTGTACAAATATTTGCAATAATTAATATGGGATATATCTGCAATGCACCTATAATGAGACTATATAAAGCAGACACTAATACTTAACTTTTTAGAAAGATAAAATCAAACAAAAGAATAAAAAAAAAGTGTAGTTGTCAGAGATTTTATCGTGAGTTTAACTTTTCTTAAAAATAAAAATCAAACAAAAGAATAAACAAAAAAGATATATCTATGTGGGATTTTTTCCGTGCATTTAGGTCATCGTGAAATGCAAAGGAATAGATTATAGGTTAAAAGTATTCTAAATCACAAAAACGTAGGAGAAAAAGAACGAAAAACAACCTTGATGAGTCCTTGAAGGTGCACGGAAGGGAGGTTCTTTTCTAAATTAAAAACGATAGCGATTTTTGTAAAAAAGAAAAGATGGACTTATATTTTAGAATTTTGTAAAAGACAACTATCCAAATAAAGAAAGAATTTATATTTATATAAATAAATATTAAATTCATAAATATTATGAGCTTTTACCTAGTTCAACAACAACAACAACAACAACCCAGTAAAATCCCACTAATGGGGTCTGGGGAGGGTAGTGTGTACGCAGACCTTACCCCTACCCCGAAGGAGTAGAGAGGCTGTTTCCAAAAGACCCTCGGCTCAATAATAATAATAATAATAATAATAATAATAATAATAATAATAATAATAATAATAATAATAATAATAATAATAATAATAATAATAAATAAAAAAAATAAAAAGACAAAATGACAAAAACGAAATAATATTAGTATCACAACAACAATCATAGGATAAATAAAAACACCATGAAATCCAGAAGAAAGATGCAAAGCAAAGGGAGACAATATTAGTAAATATTAGTATCACCATAACAATCATAAGAAAAATAGGAACACCATGAAATCTAGAAGAAAGATGCAAAGCAAAAGCGATAGCTAGTCAATAGGACATGCACTGAAAAGCGAAATAGTAAGCCACAACATTGGCATTTTACCTAGTTCAAATTTAAGAAAATCTTTAATAGTCGAAATTTTAGTTATTAATGTGAAAGTGAAAAAATTACTAAATGGCACTTTTGTCCAATGTTAAATTCATTTATAAAGGGCAAAAAAAAGTGAACAATATTTCGCATGTATCCTATTTTAATGATATAAAGATTTAAAAAATCATATAAATATAATAAAGAGTTCTGATTAATAGTTCAAATAACATATAATTTATATAAGATAAAATTTTAATTGATTTTAAAGTTTTAAGTATTAGTGCTTTCTATATACTTCAAATCAAGATAGAGTTAACAAGCAAAATTTTATATGTATTGGTGTTTTGTTCTTTTATAATACTCCCCCCGGTCCACTTTAATTGATTTTTTGGCATGTGGTTCATAATATTTGATTTTTTTATATATCAAGTAGGCATTAATTTCTTTTTTCCAAAGTTTCTCTTAGAGTAAAGAATCTTGAAGTATCTATTATATTTTCAATGAATAAATTAAGGTTAATATGATCAATTTTATTGTTAATTAATGTTAAAAGATGAATTCTTTAATATGTGTGAAAACAGTCATATAAGCATTTACTAAAAATAAACTAATATATAATTTGAAACTTTTTTGAATGAGTGAAAATAATTCGGAATTAGAATGTGATTCTTGAGCTAAAATATGCGCGTGACTGCATGAGTATTGAGTCTATACTCGCGTGTTTAAGTCTAGATTGAAAACTTTTCAAGGTGTATAATATAAGTTTGAAAAGTTATGTAGACATCTATAAGGGAGTAGGGGTAATTTGGAATAAATAAAATTTTTGAGTCTAGACTGACATTAAATTGAAAAATAATTGAATAATTATTTTGTTTAGTGTAAAATTTGACTTAATGAATATAAAAGTCGACCAAATACTTTTAATTGGTAAGAACAACTCTTCGATACTCAAAAACTTAGTTGCTGACTATATGCAACGTTGTTATGATTTATTTTCACAAAATAAAAATTTAAACAAAATAGAAAAACATAGAATGTTCAAGTTAAGTGATTTCCTAGTAGAAAGGAAATCTGTAAACGTTAATCTAAGGTCTATCGGCTTTCCCCCTAAATATTAGAATAAGTATACTGTAGTTGTATCATAATTAAAGTGAATCGTGTATTTAAGGTAAACTCTTTATTGATTTTTAAATTTGTTTTTTCAAGGGTTTAAATAAAGAAATATATAATAAATAGAATTTTAGTTGATGTAAAAGTCCTAAATATTAGGAAGATAAGTAAAATGATAATTTTATTCAATATAAAACCTATTTTTAAAGGGTAAAAAAGGCCAACGACATTTCGTTAAGGGCTTTCGCGCTTTTAATAAGGTTTAAGAATTTCTAAATTTGGTCATAATTGGGTTTTTGTTGATACTGGGTCCCGATTTAGATTTCGAGAGTTCGATCAGCTTGTAACAATATTTATGGCTTATGTACAAAATTTGAAGTTATTCCGAGGTACGTAGGTACGCTTTCCGTTAGTTTTTGAAAAAAATAAAAGGTTTGATTTTATAAAGCTTGAATTTTTAAAGTTTGACCGGAGATTTGACTTTTGAGCAAACGACCCCGGAATGAAATTTTGATGATTCCAATAGTTTCGTATGGTGATTTCGGATTTAGGCGCATGTTCGGATTTGGAAGTCCGTAGGACAATTCGGCGCATTTTGGCGAAAGTTGAAAAATAGAAGATATTTGGAAAATTTGACCGGGAGTTGACTTTATTGATATCGGGGTCGAAATTCGATTCTGGAAATTGGAACAACTCCATTATATCATTTATGATTTGATTGCAAAATTTGAGTTCATTCCGGATTGTTTTGGCATGTTTCGGCGCGAGTTATAGAAATGAAAATTTCATAAACTCATAAGTCTGAATCGACACGCGATTTGTAGTTTCGCCGTTGTTATGTATGATTTGAGACCTCGAGTAGGTTCATAATATGTTTTGAGACTTGTTGGTGTGTTCGGACAGGGTCCCGAGGGGCTCGAGTGAGTTTCAGACCATTTTTAGGTCATTTTTAACTAGTGTTAGGGTACGCGCTTTGCGCGTGTAACTAACTCTCAATACTATAATGTAATTAATATTGCTCTAATTTTTTATTTATTTCATATTTAATACTCTTCTTATGAAAATAAATTTATGTACA